GAAAGTAATGATTACCAAGGGGAATACGAAAACCAATACCTCCGCCAGAGAGCGAAAGAACATATGCTCATAGATATTAAAGACCCCAAACATTGAATAAACCCATTGTGAATCCACTAGAACTGGGAATGTGGCCAGAAGATAATCAATTCCTACAAGATCATCATATATACTTTGGAATTAACAGCCCACCACCCCAAAGACTTCCTCCAACACCCACTTGAACTCCACCACCCCAAAGACAACACATTAACAGACAACAACAACCTCTAAGGCCCCATCAACCAGTAAATCTACCCCACAGCAGAACTCACCCCCTGCCCGGCCGCCCCAACCCCAGCTTCAACCAGCTCACAGAGCTGTAGTGGTGAACCCAATAGATCAATTATTGCAAAGTATAAATAACCTCATACTTGCCATGGGTACTAGTGGAGGTGACCAAGACCCACTTATGTGGTTGGACGAGTTCGATGAGGCATGTGTTGCTAACAACATGTCAGAACAAAGAAGGTTCGATATCCTACTATCCCACTTTAAGGGAACAGCTTATACCTGGTGGAAGAACATAGTACACAATGTTTGGGCCTAGAACAAACTACCCAATCCCAACATTCTTTTACCCATCTTTTTCAATGATATTTTTGTACAATGCACCAACAGAACCGATGGGTATCTGAACTGTGATCTAGACAGCAAGGGCTAGGTAAAACAGTAGATAAATACTATGATGCGCTAGAGAAGCTTTACCCAAGGCCGATCCAATGCAATAGTACTCCCAGATAGACTGCATTCGGCAATTTATAGACAGACTAAAGCAAGAACTTAGAGAACCGGTAGAAATGGAGTGCCCCATGACCGTTCAGCAAGCCCTAAAGAAAGCTAAAGCCATGAAAGCCACTTATTCCCGGGGGGAGGTCCCTTAAGTTTATATTTTTTGACCCGAAGCTACCTAAATAAGGAAAACCCCGTAAATTATGAAATCAGTGAATTGAAAAAGGCTATTTCCGAAATGGCCCAAAGCATGAAAACATTAATACAAAATAAAAATAAAAATGATCACTTAGCCATAGGCCAAACGGTTAATATACCCCGACCTAACTTTAATCAGGTTTGTCCTTCCAACCCTAATATTATGTGTTATAAGTGTAGAGGACAGGGTCATGTTTTAAGAGTATGTCTCACATAGGATGAGTGAGACTCCAGCCACAATAACAGCCATGCAGCGGGATACAATCAACAGTCTCAGCGGCAAAATAGATCTGGAAACACAGGGAATAATCAAAATCAGGCTGGGGCAACCCAAAATAACAACAGAGCAAATCAAACTGAGGGAAATACTCAAAACAGAGGTAATACTGCCCAATATGGAAGCAATAGAAATCAAACCTACTTCACTATATCTGCTGAAGACCTAACTAGAGCTATCTCTAATGCAGTTAGGAAATATTTAAACTGATGGAGGCCACTTTTTGCGAGGGTGAGAATGCTGGAAATAGAAATACAACAGATCCCTCAGTTGATGATTTTAGCATTTTAGACACACTATTATCTAATAACTTGCCTTCACCGTTAGTATTAAATAGTACTATAGAAGTGCTGGTCACCTCTTTCTAGCCTATAGAAGTTACTTACTATGAGGCTACTGTGAATCAGTACCCTATTTATTTAATACTAGATACGGGATCCAGCAAAAGTCTGGTTTTCCAAGAATTTTTGAGGAAAATCAGAAAAGACATTAATAGGCCATCAATGAGAAATTTGGTGGATATGCACAAACAGAGAAGATATCTGTTAGGAGTAGTAGAAAACTTACCTGTCAAAGTAAAAGGAGTAGAAATACCAATAGATGTAGAAGTGACTAGGGCACGAGGCTATACTGTAATTGTAGGAACAGATTGGTTGGCTAAAGTAAAAGAGAATATTAATCTAAAGGATGAAATACTGGAATATGAATAGAATGGCAATAAATATAGAACCTTTATCACCTGCTGGAAGAAAATGACGTATGTTCAGGGGCTTCCAATACCGATAGAAAGTCAAACAAAGGATACAGTAAATAGACGCGAGGATGATAAAAAGCAGAGGAAGAATACGAACCTGAGGTAAGTATATTCGAAAGGAGCTATCTAGTAAAAGGAAATGAGAATAAACTGCCAATTATTGAAATAGATGAGAACTACGTTAGTATAGAGAGAAAGGAAATGCCAATAGAACAATATGAACAGCTGAAGAATAAGGTAAAGAGAAACGTTAATGACAAAAAGCTGAAGCGTGTGTGGAAAGGTCCCTATGTTGTTTGCTAGTGTGAAAAGCGTTTGGGCCAAATAGAAGATACCTGCTTTAAATGTCAGGAATTGTCAGAGAGACTAGAAGTATTGGAATGTCTGGTAGATAGTATAGACGAAGAATTAGGAATAGCTAAAGAACCGGGAGAGATTGATGAATTAAAGGAAGATCAAAGAATACAAGTTAAAAATTTACTAGAAAAAAATTATAATCTATTTGCTAAAGGACTTGCTCACTTGGGTAGAATTAAAATTGAAGTCTATCGGATACTATTGAAAGAGGACGCACAATTGTTGAAACAGAGACTATACTGAATAGTATATGCTAAAAATGAATTTATTACCAAGGAAGTTGAACAGATGTTAAAATATAGAATCATACAGGAGTTCAATAGCCCATGGAGCTCTCCTGTCATCCTTGTAAAGAAAAAAAACAGTAAAACTCGATTTTGTGTAAACTATCGAAAAATAAATACGCTGACAAAAAAGAATTCTTATCCTTTACCTATAATCGACGACATACTAAGCTCTTTAAATAAATTTAAGTAGTTCTCAACCTTAGATTTAGCCAGTGGTTATTGGCAAATAGAGATGAGCCCCCAAGCGAAAAGACCGCATTCGTTACAAAAAATAGGCTGTACGAATTTTTAGTTATGCCATTTGGCCTAACCAACGCCCCACTACGTTTCAGAGATTAATAAATAAAATATTTCACTCAATTAATAGAAAATTTGTACTGGTATATCTGGATGATATCAATATCCACTCACAAATATTTGATAAACATTTGAATCACATTCAACAGGTCTTTGATTTATTGAGAATAGCGGGACTACGCCTGAACAGAGATAAGTGCTGTTTCTTTAAAAAACAATTGTTATTCCTTGGGCACCTCTTAAGCCAAGTAGGGATTGCCCCAGACCCTATTAAAATTGAGAAAGTTCAGGACTTCTGGTTCCAACCAACCTTACCGAACTCCAAGGCTTCATAGGGTTGGCCTCATATTATCAAAAATTTGTTGAAAATTTTGCTAGGATCATACACCCACTTAATATGCTATTAAAAAAGAATGCCCCTTTTAAATGGGATGACCCATGTCAGGATGCCTTTGAATGATTAAAACAAAGACTCATAACCGCATCTATTCTAAGGCACCCCAATTTCAATAAATCCTTCATACTACATACTAATGCCTCATATATCAGTTTAGGAGCCATCCTGGCTTAAAAAGATGACTACAACAAAGAATATGTTGTTGCGTATATGAGTCAGGAACTAAACGGCCCTGAGGCAAATTACTCAGCAATGAAGATTGAATGCCTAGCCGCTATTTGGACTATGCAATATTTTCGCCCCTATATTTATGGAAAGGAGTTTGAATTAGTAACTGACTATCAAGCTCTTAAATGGTTACTGTCTAATCCAAACCCTACTGGAAGACTGGCAAGATGGATTATGATTGCTGCAGAATTAGTAGACGTACACGGTTAACCTTTTATCCAAAAGGTTATAACCTTTAATAAAATCTAATAACTAGTTTTATATCCTATTGATGTAAGAGGTTAACGGTTATATCCTAGGTTATATTCAGGTAAGATCAATACATGGTTATTAGCCAATCAAATTTACATAATTAATTAAAGAAATTTTCTATATGCTTTTATCTTCCGCTATGCTTTAGACAATGAACTTTATCATGTTTTAATAATTTATTAACATTTTTGCTTGATTTATATAACCAACTGAAATTCATTCTATCCTAATGAGTGATGCTGATAAACGTTTTATTATCACAATGTTTTGGACTTTATTATATAATAAACTTGTTTTTAACATATATCGTAGTCAATAATTTATAAATACAATATAAACATTTAATGTCATAGTATTTTATCAAAAATTTATAAACAAAGCAATTCTAAAACACATTAGAACATAATCGATATATGTATAGTAGTTAATTTGGGCATGATGTAGGATAGGATTACGATTGTTTTAATCTATTGCAGATATTAACTTGGTGCACAACATATAAATAATGATATATAATTATATTTTACCCTATTTTAACCTAAATTATCTTTTAGGTTAACCGGATATCTTAATAACTTATCTAATACTCAATTTTATCATCTGGTTATTCGGGTAACCTCACGGTTAACCGGTTACTATATCCTAGGATACAACCACTATGCAGAATATCCTTGCAATATATAGTATCAAAAAGTTTCAACCCACACCAATGTGAATGCTCTATCAAGAATTCCTCACAGGCCACCGTGAGAAAAGAGAAAAAAAATAATATAATTATTAATAAGAGTCAAATAAGTATATGAAAAAAGAAATAAGTAAACAAATAAAGATAAGATCACAACTTAATAATCTACAAAGCCTTAAGCAAAAATCCAGTCCCAATTCAGCCCAGGTTATTGGTGTCCTGGCATTTCAACCTTGAAGGATAATAGGATTAAAATAAGTTCACAATATATATATATATTTTAAAGAACCCCAAAATGGACTTACAGTACTAACAACTTAAGCTATACCTAGAAACCACTGAAGTTCCTGAGCACCTAGATAAATCCCAACAAAAGAAGTTTAAAATGCAAGCTACCTATTATTACCTCGATAAGGCCATTCTTTACTGAAAAAATAAAAATCAAAACGGACCTCTATTACGCGTAATTAAGGAGACTGAGTTGGAGAGAGTGCTATATGGGCTCCACCCAGATATTACAGCCAGACATTTTGGAGTGGAAACAACCTATAATTGGGCTAAAAATAAATACTTTTGGCCATGAATGTACAAAACAATTGCTAACTATATACAAATCTGCAACACATGCCAATGGCAAGGAGCCCCACAATGGCATGAAGAGTTACATCCCATTAAAGTAGGAGCCCCATTTGACAAAGTAGGCATATATATAGTGGGGCCCTTCAAAGATATTACGAATGAAGAAAACCATTACATTGTTGTGGCCACAGAATATTTAACGAAATAGACTGAAGCACATTCCATACCTAATATGATGGCACCTACTATAGCCCGGTTTATTTACGAAGACATAATTTGCCGTCATGGCTGTCCTAGAACCCTTTTATCTAACCAAGGTTGTTCCTTCTGCAACGAAATTATTGATGCTCTGTGTGAAATTATGAATATCCACCACAAATTATCAGCCACATATCACCCCCAGACGAATGGACTAACTGAAAGATTTAACAAAACTTTGTGCTCCACTTTGGCGAAGTTGATAGTTGACTATAAGATAACATGGGACACTCTGCTACCTGCAGCTCTCTTTGTATATAGAACTTTGCAAAATCACACTACCAAATACGATCCCTTCTACCTAATATATGGCCGGAGTGCTGTAATTCTGCTAGATCTACAACTACAAGGAGGAAAAGAAGGTCCAGAAGAATCATTGGAACAATACTTGAACCAACACATAAGGAAGATCACTGAGCAGCTGAATTAACAATGGCTTCAAGCCCAAAACAACATTAGGAATGTGCAAGAAAGACAAAAAGGATACTATGATAAAAGTATAAGGCCCATAGAATTTAAAATAAGAGATCAAGTCCTCCTATACAAATTAGCTAAAGAGAAGGTATATGGTAATAAACTTAAGGAAAAGTGGAAAGGCCCTTATTTTATCCATGATTACAGAGCCCTGGGAACCTACAAACTACAAACAATAGAAGGAAAAGTCCTTAAAATCTGGTAAATACAGATCGATTAAAGAGATATTATGAATGTCCAAGTTGGGAACCCATTATATACATATAAAACAAAAAAAAAAAAAAGAAAGAAATATATATATATATGTATAATAGTAATTATAAATCATCAATAAGAAATATTAAAGTTATACTCGGAGGACCTCATAACTTAAAGAAGGGGACATGTAATATAAAATTCTAACTCAACGATTGTACGTGTCATGACTATCATGTGAATTACGTGATAACTGATAAAACAGTTCACGGTAAGGATACTAAACTGCCTGCCTTACTTTGTTATTTTATATATATATATATTTTTCGCTATATGTATTTTTTTATTATATACAATAGTATTATTTATCTATTAGGGTTATTTGGGTTAATTATAGCTACTTATGTAGCTTTGCCAGGATGCATAAATTGCGAAGCATAATGTTCGTTATGCATAATGATCATTATGCATAAATCGTTATGCATAAGATCGCTATGCATAACCCGGAGCAGTGCCTAGTCTCATAAATTGTAGCTAACAATACTAAAAGAGGTTAAGTATTAGTAAAAAGCTAGAAGTATATAAAGACCTACAAAAAGATCTTGTAAAGGAATCTTCCATGCCTTAAAAAAACACTTATCTGATAATAAAAACAACCAAAGTTCTCTTAAAAACCCAAACCTCTAAAGACCTTAACCGAATATTTCAGTTACAATATATTCTTTAGCATTTGATAAACTTTAGTTTAAAGTTTTAATTCTTAATCACAAGTAGTTGTAAGAAAATCTTCCACTAAAGTTGATCAATTCTTTACTATTTCTTTAAGTCAAATAACTAATTTACTACAAGCAATAATATGATTGGCTAAAGCAAACTTTGAAAATTAAAGAAATCATCAAAATTGGCTTGGTGGATCCCAAGATACTTGGGGTCAAAAAAGAAAACATAAGGATATACAAATTCACTGTTACACAAAGTATTATACTTTGTATAACAGTGAATTTGTAGATCCTTATGTTTCTTCTTTGACCCCAAGTATCTTGGGATCCACCAAGCCAATTTTGATGATTTAACTACCATTGGGATTCTAAAACCTTCTCTACAAGTTTTCTTAAGACTTGAAGAGACCTTTACTTAGTAGAACCTTCTTTAATTTTCAAAGTTTGCTTTAGCCAATCATATTATTGCTTGTGGTAAATTAGTTATTTGACTTAAAGAAATAGTAAAGAATTGATCAACTTTAGTGGAAGATTTTCTTACAACTACTTGTGATTAAGAATTAAAACTTTAAACTAAAGTTTATCAAATGCTAAAGAATATATATTTAAAGATTAAAGAAAGGTTAATTCCGCGCATCACGTACGGGATTTTTAATATAAAATTATCTGGCCGGCATTGCCATATAATCTGACTGGCATTAATATAATATCTGGCCTGCTTTAACATATTCACCATAAATTCTTGAAATATCAAAATTTGACCCGAATTAAGCTTAATTTGGGCTAAATTCGAAACAATACCCACCAGTAAACAATAAATTTGATTTATTTTACTAGACACAAAAAATTAAGAAACTTGCAGGTCTGTGATCCAATCCCATGTGGGATTCATATCACGCACATGATCCATGTATGATGCGTGGGATTTTTGAAAAAATTGCGATTTGCCCATCTCTAACCATAACCCTAATGTTAATTTGATAAAATAAATATTATAAGAATCTACTCTGCTTTAGACATCCCCCTTATAAAGAAATAGAATCTTATATAATTTTGTTTTAAAAAACCCCTATAGTAAAAATCAAAACATACATATATCTTGTGATCTATCTAACCAATTTTAATGATTCTACTTCTATTAGAATCAGAAAAATTGGTCTTACAACTTTTATTAGAAGCTAAAAAGGGTTTACATAATAAAAAAATACTTTTATATATAAGCAAGCTAGATTACTGTACTATAAAAAATATATGAATTTCCATTTTTGTTTATTATAAGATCTGCAATTTTTTGCCCCTTTAGAGGTGGACTACTCCTTAATAAAATTTTATGTTTAATTAGTAGAATTTTGAGTAATTCCGGCCAAAATTTTGATAATTCTCTTAGTCAATCAAAATCAAGAATCTGCCATGAAATTTTGCTGCTGTAGCTAGGATTATTAAGAAAGCTAGATAGATATAACATGAAAATACCGTTTTTAAAAAACTGTCTATACGTAACTTGAAATTTTGACTTTGAAACCACATTCCGTGCTCTAAAATAAAAAAATTATAATTTCTAATCGTAGATTTTTTACTTTAAAATATTACACATATTGAAATTAGTCTGCTTCTTCGAAGAGAGATATCTCAAGTTAATGAAATTAAAAGTTCCTGGTAATAATATTATATACTTTTTCGAACTTTGAACAAAATATCTCAGCAATTACCTATCTAATCCATATCATAGAATAAAAATAAAAAAGTTTTTATCGATTTTAAGTGGGCAGTTATCGTGGTATTATCAATCAAAGTTTGGAAAATCTTAACTGCTTGTTTTGTGTTTATAATCGCCTTAAATCTTTTTAACTTCGAACAATAATTTCTCGACAGCAAAATCAGTAAAGTTTTTTTTTATTTTAATTCTATGAATCCATAGGATAAAATAAAAAAGTTTTCATTGATTCTGGATATGCAATACACGATTCTTACTGTAGTAGCCCGCTAAGTATACTGCACTTAGATTTGATTAGCCAACTTCGATAATATCTTTTTTTGACACTCAATATATGTGACAGGCTAGCTTAAATCAATATAGCAATACAGTATTACTGAATTATCGCATTACCATATTGCTGTATTGATTTAAAAGCCAGATCGTCACATGTATTTGAGTGTCAAAAAATTGTTTAATTTTGCCGAGCACTACTTATAATTGAACTTTTTTTTTTACTTTTTTGAATTAGATGTTCATATGTCGTTTTCAGCATGATTTTAGAGTAACTTCGTAAATTATGCAATTTTTGCAAAGGTTTAAATAAGCGTTCATAGTAATTTTACATGAATTTCACTATAAAATTTTCAATATATATATTTGCCTCCATCTTTGAAAAAATTTTATAATCAAATTTGTTTACATCCAACCAACAGCTTTAAGGCACAATTAAACTTCACTTCTCTATTATTCTATTTCTTATTTGATATGAAATACAACTTAATTATTACCATCATCTTTAGTCTAATAATTGGCTTAGCTCTTTTGCCATCCATAGAAAGTAAATATATATATATATATATATTTAAAAAATCAATAGTATGTTCTAATAACACATTTTGTACTATGCAGGCAGTACAGTTTGGATCCATAACAAAATGTGGGCAGATACACTAGCCATTGTTGAAGCCTACGACAGCAATGGTAATAAAATATCTCGGGATTCTTCAAGTGCTCATAAAGGTTTTCATCTTATGATACCCAATGATTATGATGGTTACAAACTTATCTTCACTGTTGTCAGTTCATATGAAGATTGGAAAGAGTATGGACCATTCACAAATAGCAAAGATATTGAATGGGTAATTTCTGGTAGTGTAGGTGATTGGGATATAACCAGTGTTTAAAATCTATATGCGGAATCTACGGTGCGCAGATTGAAAATTAATTCCGCAAGTAAAATATTCTTTGAATCTGTGGATTTATTATGTTGTCAGAGATGTCACGCATCTTTTTTTTGAAATTTTATTATGTTTACAAAAATTATCAAGCTTTCCACACATTGAAACAAAATCTAATTTTAACCACTGGATATAACACAACTATCCTAGTAATATTCTCCTTTAGTTTCTTTATTTCATTGGTTTTACTAAAAATAATTAATTCCATTTTATCTAAATCACAATTTAATTTTTTTATATTAATTTAACCATAATTTAGTTATTTTATTTTACAATACAATTAATAAACTAAGAGTATGATAAAAAAATAAATTTCAAATTTCGTCTTTTACTTAATATCAAATATCAAATTTCGTTTTTTATTAATATCAAATTAGAGTTAGGGGCTGACAAGTATTAACTCATTATACCCCCTGGAATTTTATTTGATCCCCAGAGTCAGTCATACCAGGAACGGAGTGATATTGAAAATTTCACGAATTGTATACCATGAGCGAATGCAATGAGCATATTCTAGGAACGAATGCATACCGTATAAGCGCGTTATTTCGGGACACGCATGCGCGATAATTCGAATCATTATGCTAATTTTGAAAAAAATTTCAACTACTTTCTTGAATGATAATCTGGTACATGTGAAGGGGCGCATTATTTTGAGACGCGCATGGGCGTTATTTTGAGTCAAATATGCCATTTTTTAAAAAATCGAAATTTCGAAATAACGCCCATGTGCGTTATTACGCGCCTATATGATAGATTAGTCGCGCAACCAAAATTCAGCGAATTGATAATTTTGCTAATAATCTAATAATCCATGCGCTGCCCAGACGCTAATTTTGCTATAATATACTTAGCAAAATTTTGAAATTTCGAGATATGTAATTATTTTCCAATAACAGCAATATATAGTGCATTATTAGTACAAAATTAGCAATCTTAATAATTTATTACAAGATTATTTCATTATCGGCACTTTTAAATGCCTAATAAATTAGTTAAATAATGGTAACTTATAGGCCTTTATTATTACTAAAATATTGATAATATATTGCATAATAATTGACAAATATATTTATAAAATTAATTATAGTAACAAATTGCTAATAAAGTACTTATATTTGCAAATGTTTGCATTTAATAGTACATTGTCAGCACGTTAAATTGCTAATTTTTAGCAAGCTTAATTTTGACATTTTTTTGTAAAGTAGTCAGTTATGAGCGACTAATCTATCCGTAAATCGCATGATCATACCTTATTGAGATTTTTATAATGCGGGACTATAATTTTCCGCGGGTGAATTAATATCCCATATGTAAAAAAGAGTAATATACTGAGATAAAAAGATAGGCTAAATGTATAAACCCAAAATGTACAGGAATCATTTGAACACTACCATAAGAAAATGAAACTTCAGACTTTCAAGCTTATCATTATTATTTATCAAATTCAGCTCGTGAAAATTTATCAGATATATATTTTATGTCAGTAAAAATAAATTATAAAATTGAAGACTCAAAGTATAATTTACTTCTCTTATTTATGATAGTTCACCAATCGGAAATAACATTTTATTATTTATTTTTTATTTATTTAAATTTTTTATTTAATAATATAATATGAAATACTATACCATACTTAAATTATAATTTAAAATTTTTCTAGATTGTAAGAAAACTTCTTTGCCAAAACAAAAAGCTTGTTTCTTGTGTAATATTATTTTACGATAGGATTTTTGAAATCTGTGCTAAGCTATGTTGATCTCTAAATCTAAAAGATGTGTATAATAATATGGAAGACCAAAATAGTATGTTAATGGTGTAGAAAGCCATTTAAAAAAACTATATACAATTACACCTCGATATAGTCACAACCTCGATATAATCACTATTTTATTTTTACCAATTAATTTTATATTACTTTACCTTTTATATAGTCACAAACACGATATAATCACAGTCACCTGATTTATATTACCATTTATATTAAGTACATAATAAATATACTTTGATATAATCACAAAATTACAAGAAAACTTAAGCATTTTTATATTCCGGCCAGGTTAATAAAATTTGTTGATTTTTTTTTTCAACAGAGTTCACTTTTCAGTATAAAAAAAAATCACAATGTTTTAGTATTGATTAATGATGCAGACATTTCTCAGAGTAGTGACTACTTACGGTATTACGGCTATGACGTAGAGGTGCACTACCTGAGGGTATATTGCCGTGAGATAGTTGTCGTGAGTGGTGTAGTATGCCGTATAGCATTACTACCCTGAAAAATTTCGCTGGCCAATCAAATTTCAGTAAACACAAAAAATCAATAGTTTTGTACGAGATGGTTCGTGCGCTTTACACAATTATAATAAATTTTCGTATACCATCCAACCAAGTTGCCGAATATACATAACCAAATCCTCTTTTGCCAATTTCTTTAACGTTAGATACCGTATAAGCGCGAAATAACGCCCACCTGTGCGTTATTTCGAAATAATAGTTGATTTTCTAAATCCAATACAGTAAAAGTGCATTTATAGAATATTCATTAGATCGATCAAATTATGTGCACTTATCATCTTTACAGAAACCTTGATTTTTTAAAAATATAGACAGCATATATAATAAAAATCTTAGTAAGCTCTGTTAACTCTCTTGTAAGAAACTTATTAATATTATAAATATATCATAAACATATTAGGAATAATTCATTCATCAC